TGTATGACATTTGCAAGCTATTTTTTCAGGCTAACAACATGGAGGTAAAGAAGCCAAATTTCAATACGTCGTACACTGACATGCAGATTATCTATACACTACAAACCTGTACGACGTTCACAATGTTATGAGGGCGAGTGGTCTAAGGCGATCAAGAGAACCATATGCCTGGAAATCTCTTCATTAGCAAATTACATTTACTGAGGTTTCGTGACTCTGAGTGTGATATAAGCCATACCGTAGCTTCCTGTGTGTTAAACAGGGTAATTTACCTTTTGGTATGAACACGTTCTTTTTTATTTGTTTTGTTGTTTCTTTGCTGGTCTTTGACATGAAGGACTGACAGACCAGACAATAATTAGCGCCGGATTAAACTAAACTCTTTCTTATTATAATTTTCCATTTTAGTGATGAAGCAAACGCATGATTTGGAGTAGGGGTAAACCAGATTTATGTTTGTATAGATTTAAAAATGATAGTAACAACGTTTGCTCAGGATTAAAACCGCCACTTTTTCGTAAAAGACTGTGGTAATTAGTCATCATTATAAAATAAAGACCCATTAAGGAAGTTTACAGGGGACGTGATTGGCGCTTTTGATTAGCAATCTAGCCATCATATTCTTTGGTAACATGACTTCAGATGATGTATTCATATAAACTGATGTTTGCCAGCAAACTAAGGTACCTTCCCCCAACCCAATTCAAAGACTTAAACGATGAAAAGAACGATTACAACCAAGGTTGACACTTTTCTGGTCGCGGCGCACTAACATAATCCAGTTTGAATATCGCGTCTTGATTGGTAGTTCCTTCTAGTTACTATGGTATTCATTTGTAATCTCCAACAAAGTCTACATTTTCTGCTTTTGATGAATATACATAGTGGGAAGGTAATTTAATTTCTGTTACAAAAGGAATGTACATGTGTGTCCCATATTATGGGTTTTATTTTATTAAAACCAAAGTTACTGAATGGAGTTGATATCCATGTAATCCTGGTGGATGCGTATTTTACGTTAATGCATACGTTCGAACTTTCATAAGTTAAAAGTTGAGTTCTTTCAAATTGTTCTAGAATAAGTAGATTTGTTGGGGTTGTTAACGAAAAGGTTGAAATGTTGAAATCTAAAATCTGATCAGCAGCATTCGATAATGTTCTGTTAAGTTGGGTATCTCGCTTCTAATTCCGAACAAGCTTTGTTACATTTTAATGAATCTAATTAAAGTCTAAAGTAATTAACCTCCCATTCAGAAACTAACATTATGACCACCATTCACTCATCCCCAAAATAGCTAGATATGCACACTAAACACACCTTAGGTAGGGTTATGGCACGATTTATTTCAATACCATTTCAAAAATAGATAATCCAAGGTGAAGTTCAAACATTATATAAGTGTTGATTTATGTTTGTTTTCAGCATTGAAAATTGTTTGATTAATGTTCTTGTAAACGTTTCATTATCTTGAGGTTCATAGATTCATATTTGTCTTGCTTTGAATAATTCAATGTATTTTGTATTCACTTGTATCATGATTACTTAATGCATAATGAAACTCTAACTGGAAATCGTGGTTATTTGTTGCAATCAATAACTGTCAAATATTTCTCAAGTTGCTATTACTCGAAAGTTTGTGAAGTAACACTTACGAAAGTGGTCTTTTAAAGATATATTTGTACAAAAGCAAGGTTGAGAAAACTTCTAAAAACGATTCTGTTTAAACTAGCTGATATATATATATATATATATATATATATATATATATATATATATATATATATATATATATATATATATAACTTTTCAGATATGTTTGATAGTAATCAAATTATCTTGCTTGAAGAGCACGCAAAGTGCATTTTTAATTTGTATGTGACAGGTAGGATATGTGATAATAAAGTAGCATCGTAAAATAAAGTGTTTTAAAATAACCCTTGTCAGATATATATTTATTTGGGCTATGATGAAAGTATGTATGTATGTATGTATGTATGTATGTATGTATGTATGTATGTATGTATGTATGTATGTATGTATGTATGTATGTATGTATGTATGTATGTATGTATGTATGTATGTATGTATGTATGTATGTATGTATGTATGTATGTATGTATGTATGTATGCAGACAGGCAGGCAGGCAGGCAGGCAGGTAGGTAGGTAGGTAGGTAGGTAGGTAGGTAGGTAGGTAGGTAGGTAGGTAGGTATGTATGTATGTATGTATGTATGTATGTATGTATGTATGTATGTATGTATGTATGTATGTATGTATGTATGTGTGTGCATGTATGTATGTATGTGTGTATGTATGTATGTATGTATGTATGTATGTATGTATGTATGTATATATATATATATATATATATATATATATATATATATATATATATATATATATATATATATATATATATATATATATATATTATCTAAATATGCCGTCCAAATCCACTTCCTATTAACATGTGTGAAGCATCAGTCTCAACGTTTTCTTAGTTTACTTTTACCAGGCCACTAAAAGTTCTGGTATTTTCATTTCATCACGCACTTCACAAGAACGAATCACATTTCAATTACTTTTATTGTACTCATTTAAAAATATTTCAAATGTTATTAAAAGTTTCCATATTCAATATTTGATCAAGTTGATGAAACTAATATGACCAAATTGAACTCTCACACAGACACACATACAGACGTAACTCAATGCTTTATTAGAAAAGGTGAGTTTGAAGAGGAGATTTGTGTTTCCCTAATGATGATAACTATGACGAAATCGACGATTATTGTCAGATAAAAAGGTGTTAAGAGATGCAGCAGAAGTTATATACCATAGTAATACGGGAAACATTCACACTAATAAAATATGTATTTAGGCAAAAACCTTATTCCGTCCGCTTTTTTAAATCTGTCCTCTTCATTGATCTTAGCGACTTGATGGGAGGAGCATGACAGAGTCCATTTGAAATATAAAAGCTTGAAGAAAAAGAATATATCACTGTTGCACACAGTTGATGACTGCGACCATTATCCAGATCTAGGAATCTTTCATCAGAAGGCTTGAATGTTTATATTTGTTATGTAATCACTAACGTCAGAATGATACATATTGTAATTAAAACAGAAGTCATTGTTACATGTCTGTATCTTTAAGCTTCACAGTGTATTGCATCGACGTGGTAGTATACTTTTGAATTTGAGAATACATTGGTTTTCAAGTGCAACATGTTTATAGTTTTTAAAGATAGTTGTTGGCTGAGACAATTCTTACACATTTTTAATTTATGTTCATTTACTAAATGAAAACGCTATTCACAAGAGTTCTCTATGTGAATAAAATCCTTGGCGCAGATCATGTTTTAAGTGCAGCATGATTTGTGTTGGAATATGATGTTTACGTGTTAGGTAAATACATGGTTTGCTTTTTTTGGAATGCAATCCACCGCTAATATTCTTGGTGCTAGAAATTATATCCCCCAACTTGTTTGACGAAGCAGTTGAAACTATTTGTGTGCTTCTACGTGTGTGCGTGAGTGTGTGTGTGTGTGAGTGTGTGTGTGTGAGAGAGAGAGAGAGAGAGAGAGAGAGAGAGAGAGAGAGAGAGAAAGAAAGAAAGAAAGAAAGAAAGAAAGAAAGAAAGAAAGAAAGAAAGAAAGAAAGAGAGAGTTAGACCACGTGTTATTATATTATTATATTCTAAAATTAAACAGTTCTTTTTTTCTCTACTCGGGATTTTCATCTGAATCACTAACATCCACCACGCTTTATCTCAGCGGGATTATTCGTGTTAACATTTGTCTGCAATCGTTTCAGTTGTATTGTATTATAAAGCGTATAGTCGTTATTGCGTTACATTTCATTTGACAAAAAAGGTTTCGTACCATGGTCCTTTTCAAAATCTATAAATTATAGTTCAAATTGCAATACTCAGGTAGAACTTCAAACCAATGTGGATAAACTATTTTGATTATAGAAAGTAACTCACAAAGAGTTTTCGCTTGAAAAATGTCATATGTATTTTCGAATTCATCATTCACCTGCGCTGAGACGTTTCAAGGTAAACGTCACCCTTGAAGTACGACAGTGTTGAGTTTTACCTATAAATGACGTAGCTTTCCTGATAAATGCCCCCAAACTTTTCCTGAGAATGTACGAAGGTTAATAAAATAAATTTCTAATGATTTTTAATGTCTTTATGACGAATGCATGATGCTAAAATAAAACAATGGTGTATTTGAAAATATAAACGAGATTATAATATTGCACTATTGATCATATCACGTGTAGCACATTGAAGTCCTCCTCATAATTGAAAGCAATGAGACACTAGTCTGTCACTAACATATTTCTTATAAGATAGCACACAAATGTCAGATCTTATCTCAAAATGTATCAAAGATAAAGTTGGGGAAAGAAAGACAGATATAAATGACACGAACATGTGGCGCAAAACAACTGAAATACGTGATGTTATGTACTGCTGGTTAACTTTCTGGCTAGTAATTATATATATATATATATATATATATATATATATATATATATATATATATATATATATATATATATATATATATATATATATATATATATATATATATGAGAGAGAGGGAGAAAAATGAGAATTTTCTTGAAGATTATGTCACGGAAAACAATTTGGAAGAAATAACCATATTTGTGCAAAAATCTGTCGTAAATAAAGATTGTGTGAACAGAGTATTCGATACATTTGATAATTGTGTAGTTCTGCTATTTAATTCATAAGCTGTACATACTAACACAGACATAACTAAGGTTTTACGTGCTTTTGATCCTGAATATTCTCTAATATTGTTACGTGTCCAGGCTCTTATAAAAAGTGACAGGAAAAGAGTGAAGACAACAAGCTTTGTAAAATTTAACATATAATTTATTTCCCAAGAACACCAAGGTGAAAATGAGGAAAAACTTACGGTTTTACGAATCAAATCCAAAATTAATTCAAGATTTAAAACCGCTCCGGTGGCCTAGTGGTTAGTGCGTCCACATCAGATGCGGGATGTCCTGGGTTCGATCCTTGGTCGAGTCATACCAAAGACTTACAAAAATGGTACTATCAGCTACCTCGCTTGACGCTCAGCATTATGAGGTTAGAGTTAGGACTGTTCGGCCTATGTGACTGGGTCGGTCGTCATGCTTCATGTCTGCAGCATGATGACAAAGTGCTAGACATCACTATAAACTGCCACACTGCAAATATCGTAGCGATATGACTGAAAAAAATTTAAATATACGTTAAAAATGATAACCACATCACACCTCACATCCAAAAATTAAAAAATGGAAGTCCTTTAATTAAAAATTCCTAAATGAATCTGAGTTCGAGTCACGAAGAAATTCAAAATAGAGGGCGATGACGTATGTCGTAACCTTTAAGGTGTTGTTGTGCCGAAAAGGTCCTTGTTGAATGACAGAAAATAATATTCCAGTTTTGAATTTCGAATAAATTTCAGTGAATGTCTTTGTCCAAGAATTTTATAGCAGCATTTGCATTTCCAGGGAAAATAATTGAAATACAATAAAATAAAAATTCAACTCAATGCTAGTCACAACACTTGCTTGGAGTCCTACTGGCTAATTCTTATCATAACACGAGTTATATTACCTACTAAAACCCAAAACAAATTCCTGGATTAGGGTCAAAAGTTCATCCTACTGGGAAAACCAAACGTTTGTGATAATAAAAACAGTATTTGTCATGTACTCCAGGTATCACCTTGATTCCACTGAATCTTTCTCTTAGAAAGAAGTTTTAAAAAGTTGTTTTCAAGAATCATTACTGGTTCTGAATCAGGGTCCGAAATTGGATTATGTTTTCATTATTAGTTGTTAAAAATCAATATTAAGTCAGGTTAAGCAGAACTGAATTAAATTTCTCTGCTCAATTTCAAATGAAGTAAATAAAGTTACATTACAATAACAATAAAGATGAAAAAAGTTAAAAACTAACAAACAAATAATTATATATATATATATATATATATATATATATATATATATATATATATATATATATATATATATATGCACATGTGTGTGTAATATAATATTAGTAATAACGATGGAATTGAGTTGTTAAGACAGAATTATTTACAATCGAAAGTCAATATAGACATTCATATATTTCCTATCATAAAATGTTAACGCTTTCATTAAAAATTTTGAAGATTGTATCCTGATAATACACTAGAGTTTACGTACGGATGTAATGCTTATCATGATGAAGATCATGTTCAACCCTCAGAACTACAAAAGACTATAAGGTATAGCACAATTGTGGCTTATCCAAATATATTTATGTAGAAATTGTAATGATCTTATTATGAATAGAAGGCTCTTCAGTGACAATAATTTGCAGGTCACATGTTTACAGTTAAGATGCTTATATATGTTATCTTGCACTGTTTCGTTACATTACCAAACTTGGAGTAGGGGCTGGCGTTGAATGTACACATTTTTCTATATATTCTTCACTTACACAAGTCTGTATATAAGAAATGAAGGTGGTATTTCACAAACCTGAACCATTGTGAATGTTACTGATCAAACTACATTGGATTTTGAGACAATATTGACACTTGTACACTTACAAAATGGGTTTATTTTTGTCATACTGACACATGTACACTTATAAAATGGGATCGTTTTCGTCATATTGACATTTGTACACTTACAAAATGGGATCATTTTCGACATTAATGCATAAAGGTTTAATGGTAAAATAGAAATTTTTTAATTTACGCTGATGATGTTGCTAACTATGCGGGTATAGTGGGGCTCCTATAGAACCAAATAAATGCCCTTGAACGATCCGTGTTAATAGAGGTTAAATTGTCAATTTAGAGAAACCGAAATCATTGTTTTTATAAATGGTGGATTTCGCAGGCAAAAGCAGGTTTGCGTTTTGAAAGGAAGACGTACTGAATGGATGCCTGGATATAATTACATAAGACTATTTTCGCAGCAATGTTGTTTGGAGAAATGCTAAGCAGACTTTAAGTCATGCGAAAAAGTAACTATGATAATTTTGATAATCAAAAACGATTTTGGCTGTCTTAGTGTAGAAGATGTTTCTAATATTATGACCCTATGTTACAAAAATATGTAATATAAAGAAGAAAGAAGCAACAAGCTTTGTAAAAGTCAACATATTTTATTTCCCTAGTATAAAGTGAAAATGTTAAAACGTTGGAACTTAGCGTGTTGCGAATTAAATCCGAAATAATCCTAGAATTACAGGCATAAAGTCCAAATCAATAACATTCTGTATAAACTTAAGTGGAAATCCAAATTAAGTCCAACGAAACTGATGATATGGTGGATCGTAAAGTGTTCATGTGCTTCTGACGTGTCAGTAGTCTTTTATTGGATCACAATAATACAAATCAAGTATTAAATCCTTATTTGAAATTTAGTAGAGATATTGAAATTGTGCAACAACTTTTTCAAACAGTATTTCGGTGTTCCTAAACTACCAGTAATGCGATTGTTTTATGGTTTGTGCGAAATATCCACTTCCTAAATCATATATTGTACGCTGTATTAATGTCTAAATGGCTCTTTTACGAGCAGAAATCATTTTAATAATACTTAATCTAGAACGATATCATTCCTAAACATCATTGTGTTCGATTAAAACCAGAAAATATCGCCGTTTCATTATATTTTGAGTCACGTAATTTCGGCATCGAACTAATAAACCCGGCCATTTTCCGAATTAATCCAATGTCGATTGGCGACATCCGTAGTTCAATGGATTGTATTCACTACCTTGAATACAAGTTTGGATGACGCAACCGTCGTAAAAGTAAGAATCCAAAACTACGCAATGTCAGATTGTCTTCAGCTCATGATCGCCCTTCAAATTATTTCAGTGCCCCAGCTGATCACTAATATTCACCATAGTCTTCGCAGGCATAATTTTTCCAATGCACCACATCACTGTTTTAGTACTACCGAAAAAACAGAAGCAGGCGCGACTTAATTCTAAACTGAATATAAGGACGTCGTTAGATCTAAACTTTTGACTATTTTAAAGAACAGTTTATGTCAGGTAGATTTTTAACAATCTTTTCCGTTCGTCCAAATGTTAATTACAATATAACAATGGTGAAATAATATTAAACTGTGGCACTACGGTTTTAAATACTGGCTGAATGTTGTAAGAATGTTGCGAACTCGCTACCAACAACAATATTAAATAATGTTGAAAATATTAGATGCAACCAGTGTCGAAAATGTTATTTCGCTTCTGATCTGGCTAAATCAAGATGTTGGAGACAACAACGATATATGCTGTATTGTATATTACGTCCATATTAGTAATTTAAGCCTTCTATCAGATTCATATTCCCACCGTTTTGGTGATTATGTCATCTACGATCAGTTTTAAGTTTCTTTATGGTAACTAACTCTATAGTTACCATATAGAATTAAACTTGAAGCATCTTGTTACTTGACGATCGTTTATTTATTACAGGTCAGGCTATGTTACGAGTTGTTTGCAGGAGCTTACATATAATGCAAAAGCTACTGAGTCATAGATGCTGATACATTTGTGCAGAGACTAATATAATCGATTTTGGTGTTTGGACCTAGATAAAGGAATCCGAGTCAAGGAGTTATATTATTTTTTCCTAACTCGGCATAACAACATGGGCAGACGAATTACTTTATCTTCGTGCAAAAACACGACATAGATTACACTGGTCTACAAGGTTACATGTTGTTGTTGTTGGCTTCCGTTAGTCTCGAGAGACGATGGAAATGCGCCCATGAAAGGTGTCCCAGTTTGTAGTTGTGCAGCGTCTTCTGTGACTATAAAGCCCCACACGGGAGTGGCAATCCTTGCTGCAGTTGCTGCACTTGAAGTTTGAGTCAGGTCTTGGTTGGAACTGCATCCTCATCCTCTGAGATCTTTTCTCATCGGCGAGCTGTCGTAACTTTTCCTCTCTGGCTTTCAGACCTGTGAACAGAGCATGTTGCCAGATGGACTTGTCGAGGGCAAGCTCTTCTCAGGTGTTGACCTCGATCCCAAGAGCTTTCATATCGTGCTTGCAGACATCCTTGAAGCGAAGATGTGGCCGTCTCTAATTGATCTTCTGCCTGAGGCAAGCTTAGAGTAAAGAAGGTCTTTGAGGATCCGCCATCATCCATTCGACACACATGGCCCAGCCATCTGATGCGATGTTGGCGGAGGAGTGTGACCAAGCTGGGAATTTTGGCCTGTTGAAGTATCTCGTTGTTTGTCACACGATCGCTCCAGGTGATCCCGAGTATGCGACGGAGACAACGCATGTGAAAGGCACTCAGTCGTTTCTCCTGAGAGGCGTACAGGGTCCAAGTTTCCCTGGTGTAAAGGAGAGTGATAAGCACGCAGGTATGATACACGGAGCTCTTAGTGTTTAATGCCAGCTTGCTGTTGTTCCACACTCTCTGCGACAATCTAGAGAGAGTTGTTGACGCCTTTCCAATCCGCTTATTGAGCTCGGCATCGAGTGAGAGGTTGTTGGTGATGGTAGAGCCAAGGTATGTGAACTCACTGACTACTTCTAGTTTGTAGTTGTTGATATTTATGCTGGGAGGGTCTGCGTCCTGAGCCATCATGATGGTTTTCTTTAGGCTGATGGTCAACACATGCTTTAGCAAAGCGGTCCATCAGGCGTTGTAGTTCAGCTTCTGTGTGAGTGACTATAGCTGCATCATCTGCAAAGAGCATGTCACTAATGGTTGCTTTCTTTACTTTGCTCATTGACTTCAGTCGTGCCAGGTTGAACAGTCTGCTGTGTGAACGCGTGTGCAGGTAGATCCCTTCTGTGGACATCCCAAAGGCGTACTTAAGCAGGACAGCGAAGAAGATAAAATGTATTATAAAGTTAAAGGTCAAAAGTTTGTATGCATATACAAATACATATTTTAGTCCTCTTTCAGTACATACTCTGCGCTTCTTGGCTTATCCCTTGTATTCATTAGATGAAACATCCTATATCCCTGTCCAGCAATAGTCTGCAAGCTTTGATGGGCTCCATT